TTAGCAATATGAAGAAGTCTTGAATCTAAGACAGAAGCTCTTGTATTATCAAATATATCTGCTAATTGTAAATGAAACTAAATTTCACATGTGAAAGAATGAGGTAAAAAATCACTTTTCTTAGGCATCCCAGCTCTCTCAGCTAAATGCTGATACTTCCAGGGAACAGAGATGGCAAGTGCCATTGAGACTATTGTTCTGTTGAAGTGGATGTTTATTTTAAAACACCACCATCTGTCTGATTTTGGGTAACCTCCTTCTAATGGGCACAGTACATATTGTGTGCAACCTTTTTCCTGAAATAAGTTATCTGAGGAAGAGAATTAAAACACTGGCTCAAATGGTTTTGGGAACTTCTTTCAGCTGACCATGTTTTGATTTTGGAATCTTTAGTTGGTCTGGGAACTGTAAACATGACATGTGGCAAGCTTCCCATTTACAATACTCTAGGCACAGAAACAGGCCCTCTGATTGCCCACAAGGGATAAAAAAAGCAGATGGCAGGTGAGTTGGCCCTCATCACTCAGAAGAGCAGTGGTCACAGGATGAAGGCTTCACTTGACAGATTTGATTTAGTCTGCTGAGGAAGTTACCAGAAAATCCAGAAGGAACAAAGGAGCTAGGCTGAAATGTTATTGAGGGTACTTTCCAAACACATCCCTACTGTGCTAACATTTTTTTTATCGTGTAAGTTAAGGGTATTTTTCACTCTCCTCTGAGCCTTAACCACTCAGGTCCAATTATCATTTAGCCAATACTAGCCCAAATAAGAACCCCTTTGATATAGGTTCTAAGTTGGATGTACTGCTCAAAAAGATCCTAAAATTTAAGGGAAAAAAAGCAAATCCATTTCAACAATGCTCCCAGTCCTCGGCTTAACAGGAAATATTATATTTTCTTGAACACTACTAAATAAAACTGGTAAGAAAATGCCCGTATGTCTAGACTGAATCTCAACTGACACTATTCTAAGGCAGTGAAGTACATAATCATTAGCTGGAGAGAGACAGGGGAGAATAACTACTGAAAACTAACTCTAATGGCTCTTTATCATCAGGTCCAATGTTTGTCTATCTATGGTCAATACAAAAAAGCACATGCTCCTTCTTTAGAGGATTTATAAAATGTCTGAACTACAGCATGCCCTTTCTTAATAAAATAGTCATTTGGATACCTAGAAAGCAAATGACATTTGGATGAAATGACCAGTTTGACAATGTTCTACTTAACAATTGTAATCTAAATATTAGAAATAAAATAAGGACACAGCATTGTCCATATAAATTGGCCTGTGTTGACAAAGAAATTTCATTTCTTTGCCAACACTCATTACTGTACCTAATATTGCCAGGCTGGGAAAAGATTAAAATGCAAAATTCCAAGTTTGGTTTCTTGGAATTCCAAGTACCTCTTTCCCACCATCATAATATTGAAAAAAATCATAAGGTGCACTATCCTAAGTTGGGAATTCTCTGTATTAGCCAACAATCTACCCTGAAAATGATGACATAGAAAGAAAAGGAAATAAAGGGTGACCCATAGTTCATTTTCCTGCTAGTCCTTCCTTACTTATTAGTAAACTGAAAGTACAGATTTAGTAAAATATGTGCATATAAAGAGTGAAATAAAAATAGATAAAGTAGTTTTATCTATTAGTTAAATTAGTTAGTTATTAGTTATGCATGGTTCTGGTAAGAATGAAATATATCCATGTATGAGTTATGAAATATAAACTGTAATTCTGGTGATTCCATATGAGTTAAAATGTTTTTATATTTGCATATTAAACTGGCATTATACTATACATAGAATGATTAAAATTATTGTTAACAATTTAAATTTCAATATTTTTTTACTTAAAATATTAAATAATAAAGAATACCAAAACCAGTTGAGAGAAAAGCCACAGAAGAATGGAAAATGTTTTATATTTTAGCATCTTTAAAGTCACTTTTCCCTTCTTTTTGAACAAGTGGTTCAAAAAGGACAGTTTCATTCTGTACTTGGACCCACAGGTTATGTGGCCAGATATGGCTTCAGGTATGTCCAAACTGTTACTGATCTTCTCAGCCCTTAGGGGGCTTGCAGAGGCTTGCAGTGGTAACCCCTACACTTCCTCCCCACCTATGGCCCTGATTCAGGCAGCCTTGATGCTATACTAAGATTAGAACTTGCAAAGCAGGTACCATGAAGTTAAAGGGTTTGGGAAGTTGGGCTTTCTCAGGTACCACCCTGAAAACCATCTCTGCTGGAAGCTTGCTCTTCTGTCTGTCACAGGCAGCAGAATGGACTTGACCATGCATAAAATTCTAAAAACAAACAAACAAACCCAAGTTTACCACCTGAGAACACCCTCATACTTGCTAAGTGTTCTCTGCATAGAATACTGCCCTACTGCCAGGGGACAGCTTCTCTCTCATCCCTCCAATCTCAGCCTATTTGCTCTTTCCCAGGACTTTTCCCTATGGTTTAACCCCTCCCCCACCTTGTAGCTGTTTTACAGAATTTATCAGCTTATTTGTTTCTCTATCAAGCACAGGTCCAAAAGTTTATCTGTTTTGGTCCCCATGTACCTAGAGCCCCTAGTACTGGGCTCGATATTTCTGGAGTCCACACTATTTGGTAAATCAATACCATGAATACTGTTTTTCAAAATTCAAACCTAAGACTTATCTCCATGAAGCAGCAGATTCCAGATAACAGCTGTTACAGAAACTAGTTTAGAGTTTTGCCAAAGCATATGAGGATCAGGATGCTTTCACAAAAGATTAAGGGAGCAAATTAATTATAAGTAGATGAACAAAAATATACAAAAAAAATCCTTTCCTTCTCACTTTACTTCTTATTATATCTTTGGTTTCTGGACTGAATATTAGCCCTATGGCAGGCAGAAATTAATGAATTAGAGTAGTTAAGCTCTGACCATCATGGTTCAGTTGGTTGAGCATCATCCCATATAGTGAAAGTTCACCAGTTTGATTCCTGGTCAGGGTACATGCCTGGGCTGCAGGCCAGTCCCCAGTGGAGCCTGTGCAAAAGGCAACTGATCGATGATTCTCTCCCTCTCTTCCTCCCTCCCTTCCCCTCTCACTAGGAAAAAAAAAAGAAGAGAGTAGTTAAGTGATTGAAGTTTTCCTCATTGACTACATCTCTATAAAAATTACATATATTACTTCTTGTCTTGAATTATCTAAATAGCACCAACTAAATCTTCTCAAGGTATAAGACAAAAGAAATACTTAATATTTTTATAATAAGCAACATAATAGGTGTTCTCTTTCCTAATTTCTATACTAAGTTGTCCTTGGAGATGTCAACTTGGCTATTTTATGAGTTATTTTAGAACACATCATTTACTAACTCACATCAATAGCCCTAATGGGCACCTGTATTAGCTGAATGTATTGCTTGAAAAGTTTATGAAGTGATGCTGAACCTTATCCTTTGAACTTTTAAAAATATTGTCTTCCCTGAACCTGGTTATTCTGTCACCTTAATTCTTATTTGAAAAAGCAGTGTTCAACAAAATTATCAAAGCATGTATTTTATCATAAGAAGTTAGACAGGTAGAGAAGGTGACATGACAAAGATCACAATGGACTTACATAAAACAGAATTTTTGTTTGCAAATGATTATTTTTGCCTTGATCTAATATACTTGACTGACGAGTGTCCCATTTATCCTGGTTGACATGCAAATTGACAAGCCAATAGGTCTTTCTCATTTCCGCCAAGAAACTCTTTTAACAGCATGTGAAATAAAAACTCCATGCTGAAGGCTAAATCAACATCGGCCATAAGATTAAGTCTGGAATGCCGCAAAAATCACTACAAAGAATGTCATCTCCAAAACGCCCACCACCAGCCTGGACAAAGCATCAGAGAGCACGCTGAAGGGAATAATGCTGCCCTGGCCTCTGGGGAGGGACCAGATGGGACCTAATAGCTGCTTTCTATTACTAATTTCTATGATAATTTCAAGTTGCCACATGGCATATGTATTTTTTAAAAATCTAAAGACAGAATATCAGTCAATGAAGTGACCAGGATTTTAATGAAAGGTACTTTTCATATACTGTGTCTATTCACACATGATATATCTCACCCACCCCTCACCCCCAACCTCTAGTGAAACATCACTTGAGTTGGGAGAAGTAGAGAGAACAAGGTCAGATGCAGTGTTTATAATCACTATCAATACCAATTAGAAACAAAGATGTTCTGTGGTTTATTAGGAGGTTAGATGCCATGGCATAAAATTGCTGCCAATTCTGCAGCAATTTTATGAAGTCTCTTAACTTCTTTTTCTTATAATCAGCTATCATGCCTGGACTTAAAAATTACAGCATGCTGATTAATGTTTCATAAAAATTACAAAAGTGAAATTTATTCTGTTTTTAGAAAACATTAAGAATTAGAGAAGCAGATATTAAAGATTTGGAAAAATTACAAAAGAATTTCTCATCATTCTTACTGATGAATTCAAATGTAACTTGGTTAAGGATGTTTTTCCCTGTCCTCCCAACTAGATGCAATTTCTCCCGTTTTTGACCTCCAGAACAGTATTTTTACTTCTCTGGTAACACTTGCCACATTCTTTGATGTATTAGTCATTGCATTTGCTGTTTGTTTCTGGTAGGCACTCTGGAGACCCCACTACCAACTGCAACAAACAGGGATGGATGAAGGAGGAGATGGAACTTGGGGGAAAATACCTGGGAAGATATGACATTTCTTGATATTCACAGCTTCTTAGAACAAATATATATGACTAAATTATGAAAATAAACTCTTCCTAAGTTATGCAACACAGAATTATTGTATTTAAAATATATTAACAAATGCTATGAAAATCACACTACATTATTTTCAACACAGACTGAAAACAAATTTCTCTTCCCTCTTCAACACACTTGTTAACACTTACCTCTCAAGAAAAACTGCCAGGATTCTGGATTCTGGTATGCCTAATAAGGTGCACATTTAAAGCAAAAAGATACAAGCTCTGGTAGAGTGGGATGAGGCACTTCACAGCCCTGCTGGCATTGATGCATGTGGCACATATAAGGCTTGGCAATAACTTCCCACTCACTATGGCTCCATCAAACAGAGGCCCAAAAAATGGAACCTGTTGATTCAAAACAGAAAAACACTGAATTTTCAAAAACCAGTAAAAGTCAAACCAAAGAAATGACAACGGCCAACTGATATTCCCGACCTGCCATGACCATTAAGGTTCTCACCCACAGAATAGATGCTGACCTTAGCAGGGCATAAAAAAGGATTGCTCCACAATGCTCTTCTATTGTGAACTCTTTTTAAAAAAAGATTTTATTCATTTATTTTTAGAGAAAGGGGAAGGGAAGGAGAAAGAGTGGGAGAGAAACATCAATGTACGGTTGCCTCTTCTGCATCCCCTGCTGGGAATTGGCCTGCAACCCAGGCATGTGCCCTGACTGGGAATCGAACCAGTGACCCTTTGCTTCACAGGCCTATGCTCAATCCACTGAGCTACAACAGCCAGGGCATATTGTGAACTCTTTAGCAAAACTTCCAATGACAAATTGTTACCAGGTTATTCTTTATTTTTTCATGTTGTCATTTACAGAAATGGCATTATTCATTTTAAGTGCCTATGTTATGTACATTATGCATGTTACACAGTCCTTCCTCACGCCATACCTTTGGCCTTCCATCCTTCTGAAGCCAGTTTTGGAACTGGCAACATTTCTGCATGGATCCTGATACATAATAATTCTTAACAGAGATGATGATTAACCCTGTTACCACCTACAAGGTTCTAGTTACCATCCTCTTTCATCTTGAACCTTTTTTCCTCTGCTTCCAAGATACTGCATTATCCTCATTCCCTTCTACTCTTTAAACACAGGCTCAGCTTTCCTTCACTGGACCCATTTCTACCATGTGGGCAACCCATAAGGTTTTGATGCCTATCTTTTTTGGATTTCTTTCTTCCCTCTCACTTCTTTTGTCCATGAGAATTTCTTTGACTTTACTCCATTCACTAATATGAAGACTGTCAGCTACATGAGCTCAAGGATTGGGTCTGACTTATAACTCTTGAATTTATTCACTCTCACACTTGCTTATTCATTTATTCAAAAATATACATGATACATACTGTTGTATTCACTGGTGACACAACAGTAAATTTAAAAAAATTCCTGATATCACTGGGCTTAGAATTTCAGAGAACAAACAGCATTAAATACATAAAATATATGAAGGTACAAGGTGAAAAATAAAGAAGGGAAGAGCAGTAGGGCTCTCTCGGAGGGAGTAAGTTCCCCAATTTTAGATCACATGGTCAGGGAAAGATTTTTTTAAAAATATATTTTATTGATTATGCCATTACAGTTGTTCTATTTCCCCCCTTCATTCCCCTCCACACTGCACACCCCCTTCCCCACCATCCTCCCCCTTCAGTTTATGACCACGTGTCTCAAGTTCTTCAGATTCTATATTTCTCCTACTACTCTTGCCCTCCCCCTATCTATTTTCTACATACCGTCTATGCTACTTATTTTCTGTACCTTCTCCCCCCTTCTCCTTCTCCTACTCCCCTGTTGCTAACCCTCCATGTGATCTTCATTTCTATGGTTCTGCTCCTGATCTAGCTGTCCTCTTAGTTTGCTTTTGTTTTAGGGGTGGTTGTTAATAACTGTGAGTTTGCTGTCCTTTCACTGTTCATCTTTTTTATCTTCTTTTTCTTAGATAAGTCCCTTTAACATTTCATATAATAAGTACTTGGTGATGATGAACTCCTTGAATTTGATCTTATCTGAAAAGCACTTTATCTGCCCTTTCATTCCAAATGAAAGCTTTGCTGGATGGAGGAATCTTGGATGTAGATCTTTGCCTTTCATGACTTCAAATACTTCTTTCCAGCCCCTTCTTGCCTGTAAGGTCTCTTTTGAGAAATCAGCTGATAGTCTGATGGGAACTCCTTTGTAGGTGACTGTCCCCTTATCTCTTGCTGCTTCTAGGATTCTCTCCTCCATTTTAATCTTGGGTAAATGTAATTATGATGTGCCTTGGTCTGTTCCTTCTTGGGTCCAGCTTCTTTGGGACTCTCTGAGCTTTCTGAAATTCCTGGAAGTCTATTTTCTTTGCCAGATTGGGGAAGTTCTCCTTTATTATTTGTTCAAATAAGTTTTCCACTTGTGGCTACCGCTAGTCTTCCCCTTCTGGTACCGCTATAATTCAGATGTTGAAGTGTTTAAAGATGTCCTGAAGGTTCTTAAGCCTTTCCTCATTTTTTTGAATTCATGTTTCTTCATCCTTTCTGTTTGGTTATTTTTTTCCTCCTTCTGGTCCACTCCTTTGATTTGAGTCCCAGTTTCCTTTCCATTACTATTGGTTTCCTGTGCATTTCCCTTCATTTCAATTAGTTTAGCCTTCATATATTCCTCTGATTTGTGACTACAATCAACCAGTTCTGTGAGCATCCTGATCACCAGTGTTTTGAACTGTGCATCTGAAAGTTTGGCTATTTCTTCATCGCTTAGATTTATCAGCTCTGGGGCTCTGAGTTGTTCTTGAGCCATGTTTTGATCTGTTCGCGCCCTGTTATGTATGAGGAGTGGAGCCTTAAGTGTTCACCAGGGCGGGGACACCCAGGTCGCTGGTTTGTGACTTTGTGTGTGGGGGCGGGGTCAGAGAGGGACAATGGTGGTCCCTTCTGCCGCTTCCTGCCACTGTGGCCTCTGCGGTTCATCTCACTGCTTGCTCCTTCACTGGTGTATCTGCGTGCGAATGTGTGACCGAGGTCAGCCCTCAGTGGGTCCGCCCGCTACTCCACACCTGGGATCCGCCCATAGCTGCCAGCGCGCCTGGGTCGCGTGCCCTGGTCGGTCCAGTGGATCTTTCCAGCCCAACCCTGCTCTGCTGCTGGCTCTGCCCCTCTACCGGTTTGTCTTAAGGGTTTGTTGTTGTCAGACTTTCATATAGTTCAATTTTCTGTGGTTTGGCTGCATTTTTGTTGCTAAAACTTTGTTGTTTTTAAAGTTGGTTGTGCGAGAAGGCACAGTGTGTCCACCTACGCCTCCATCTTGGCGGAAGTTTTATAGGGGTGTCCAGGGAAAGCTTTAAGAAGATGATATTTCAGTAAAGACTTGATAGAAATGAGGGAATGAACCTCAAGCCATAGAATCATCTCATAGAAGAGCATTCCTGTCAGAGGAACAGTAAATACAACAGCCCTGTCGTGGCAGTGGAATTAGTATGTTTAAGCAACAGCACAGAAGACATAGTGACTGGAACTGAGTGAGCAAAAAAAAAAAAAGAATAGAAAGAGATAAAGTTGGACAGGTAATAAGGGCCTTGTAGAAAATTTTAAGGATTCTATATTCCTGCTCTGAGAAGATAAAAGCCATCTGGGTGGTTTAGGGAAAGTGGGGGATATAATTTAACCTATATTTTAAAGGTAGTGTCTGGCTGCTATGTGGCAAAGTTATAGAAACCAGTTGGGAAACTACTGAATAATTTAGGCAAGAGAAGATGATGGTTTGAACCAGAATGGTAGCAGGAGAATTGAGGAAAATGTTCTGCATATAGTTTGAATGCTGCCAAGGAGTACTAATGAAGTAGGAGAAGAAAAAGGAGTGAAGGATCATGCCATGGCTGTATAGCCTGGTAATTGTTAGGTTGGAGTCACCTTTTCCTGAGGGGAAGCTCATCAGCTCAATTTTGCACAAGCTAAGTCTGAGGTGCCTATTAGATATCCAGTGGTAATGTATGAAGGTGGTAGAAGATACATCAGGCTAGAAATCAAGGTAGAGGCTAAGGGTATAGATTTACAAGAGTTATTCATTTATAGATGGTGTTTATAGCCATGAGATTGGATAACTGAATAGACAAGAAGAGGTTCAAGGACTATATTTTGTGGCTCTCCAATGTTTAGAAGTTGGAGATATAAGAAAGAATTTGCAAGGAAGACTAAGAGGGGTGGCTGGAGATAAAGGAGTAAAACCTACAATGAATCTAGCATTATAACTGGCACATTGCTAGAATGCAAATTAACTATTGAATGAGTGAATTAATTAATATTTTAAATACTTTAGATTAATTAATGAATATGGGTCTCCAGTTTAGACCTTCTGACCAAAGGCTATTTATCAGTAGAACACATTTTCTGTGCTTGGTCTGGGGATACATGGTGAAATATTTGCCCATAGGGGCTGACATAAGAAAACTATGGTCTATATCTCTCAACAAACATGTAAAAACCCTTTACAAATGATTAGTATTGAGTCCAGAAATATATAAAAAAGGATACTGTATCTTGACCAAATGGTATTTTCCATGAAACACCAAGGTTGATTTAACATTTATAAATCCGTCAATGGAATTTACTACATTAACAGCATAAAAATAATTATATGTTCTTCTGAACTTCCAGACAAGATGAAGGTGTAGGCAGATACATGTTACTTCTTCGCACAACCAAAAGAAGGCCAACAACCAGTTGAAAAACAAAAAACAACCAGAATTGCCAGAAAATTGAACTGTATAGAAATCTGACAACCAAGGAGTTATGAGAGAAACATTCACCCAGACTGGTATAAGGGTTAGAGATAGGCAGCTGCAGTGGAGAGGACGCAGAACAAGATGACACATGAGGGTGGGTAAGGCAGTGGCTGACAGACATGGTGTTCCCACATTTGCATGTGGGTAAGCTGGGAGGAACAACTGGAGAGCAAGACAGACCATGCAACCCAGTTTCAGTGAGGGGAACTAAAGCCTCAAAATCTCTGGCTGTAAACACCTTTGTGAGTTGTGGAGGTGAGAGAAACTCCCAGCCTCACAGGAGAGTTCATTGGAGAGACCCACAGGCTCCTAGAACATACACAAACCCACCCATCTGGGAATAAGCACCAGAAAGGCCAACTTGATGGTGGGTAGTGGGGAAAGTTAACTGAAAGGGGGGGCGAGACCCAAGCAGGTGGCATTGTTCCCTCTCTGACTTCTCCCCGCACATACAGCTCTATAACACAGTGAAGTGGGTTGCTAAACCCTGGAGAATATCTAAGGCTCAGCCATTACAATGTAACAGAACTGCTGAGATAAAGAAATATGGCCCAAAGAAAAGAACAGACCAAAACTTCA